AAGGGGATAGCCAGACAACCATCTCTTTTTTGCCTTTCTTCAGCAGAGAGTCCTTGTGCATCATGCCAGGTTGGGAGATGGATGGCATCACAAAGACAGAAGGATGTGACTTTACTGCCTTCATAAGCCACCACCATTGTTCTTATTTGTCGCTATATCAGGCCATTGGTTCAACCAGCTCAGTATTGTCTTTTGCATTGACCAGCAATAGCTTTCTGGGGTTACAGACAAAGAGCATTCAATCTTTGCCTGGAAGTTTCATAGGTGGAACCCAGGACTGTTTACCAGCAAAGCTTATGCTCTGCCAATGCATTGTGGTTCTTCAGGTCAAGGGTCTTTATGGCTTGCATGAAATGTCATTAAATGTAATACCCATCACAGTAAAAGGAGAGAAGCTGAGAGAAAGAGGGGTAAAGTATGACATTGAGCAGAGGAGGGGCCAAGGGCTGGAGGGCTGCTGAGGCCAAACTTCAAAGGTGGTTTAGAGCTTCTCAGATATGTTTTGTGCTACTGTTAGGGCATTAACAAACGGAGCAGCAATGCCAAATGCACAACACAGGAACAGACTCAAGCAGGGATGGGAATCATGCAATGCTCAGATGTTGCTGGACTGTAACCCTAGCCAGCATAGCTAGTGAGGAGGAATGTTGGGAGTTGGTGTTCAGCAATAGCTGGGAGAGGGCATATAATTCTCAGCTCTAGACCAAGGCAACAGATAAGAAATTTCTCTTAATTAATTCATTTTCCCATAACAAATGTACTGTGGCCCTTTGATATCCATTGGGGTTTGGTTCCAGAACCCCCTGTGGATACCTAAATCCATGTATGCTCAAGTCCCATTAAATACAATGGATAGTAAAATGTTGACCCTTATATAAAAGCTTTGCTTTTTGCAATTTATTTGTTGTTTTTAATATTTGCAAGCAATGGATGCTTGATCCGTGGATTTAAAAAGTCTGTGGATATGGGTTATGGAGTCACTAAAGAGTGGCTGAGGAGTATCTCATGGTTCAAGCACTAACTGGTATTGTGCCTTCTGCTGCTGAATTGAGAACTTTAAGTAATTAATAAGTAACAATTCCATAGTTTTTCAGATATGGACAAGTAAAGAATTACTGTTCTTTATATGGCAGCTATAACAGGGGATAATGGCTTGGGGGTCCTTTAATGACAAATAATTATTTCAAAACTAAACTTTACTGGAATCTTATAAGTTAGAATCATACAAGCCATTGTATTTCTTATTACCATGCATGGATGTGAGAGCTGGACCGTTGAGAAAGATGATAGGAAGAAAATCAATTCCTTTGAGATGTGGTGCTGGAGAAGAGTGCTGAGGATCCCAGGGACAGCCAAAAGGACAAACAAGTGGGTCTCAGAGCAGATCAAGCCGGAAACCTACCTGGAAGCCAAGATGACCAAATTGAGATTGTCATACTTTGGACACATCATGAGAAGAGAGGACTCATTAGAAAAGACAAAAATGCTGGAAAAGATGGAGGGAAGTAGGAAGAGAGGAAGGTCACTTGCTAGATAGATGGACTCTATTAAGGAGGGCAGTTAACAACAAAATAAGTGGCTAGCATACAGCCTTAATATTAACACTTGTGAAAAATATAAAATGTGAAATCAATTTTTTATTTATTAAGAAACTTATGAGAGAATTAAAAGAAACAGGTTCCACTTTTTGGAAATATGATGATGGCTTCTTGAGAGCTTCAGTCTTGTTTTTGCTGTTCTTGTTGCTGTTGCTATTAATGTGGTCTCTGTTGTCTAAAAACTTCCTGTTTCTTTGTTAAACAACTTGCCAGAAAATTTTCCTGGAACAGACATAAATGATATTTAAATACAAGCTATACCGTGACAATAAAAGTGGAGGGCTGGATAAAACCAAATTGCAAATAACTTTGCACCCTAAATATGTGACATTCTGTAAATCAGGTGTGTAAATGTCTGCATAGGTCACACTTAAACTGGAACATATACTTCACAGTATCCTGCCATTCTGTGTCTCAGTTCTTCAGTAATTTCACATACACTCTGACATTTTCTCCTGTAGTCATAAAGCCATAAATAGCCATATGTGAATAAACTGTTAGAGAAGGAGAAATGGACCATCAGCCTAAAAGCCTAATTTGGTTTATGAAATTTCAGGGGAGACGCCACCTACTCGCCACTCCCCTCTACAAAGCCTTACTTTCTAGGGATCCCTGCCTTTATCTTTCCAACTGGAAATAAAAATGGCTGTAGTAATCATCTTGATATCTCCAATAAATGATCAGAGACAATATGGGAAGGCCTGTATTGCACAGTGGATGTGGTGCTGTTACCTCCAGGTTCTGACTGGAGATGAGAGGACTGTTGTATCCATCATATGTCATTTCTGATGAGGAAAGGTGCAGGATATGCATAACTCCCTGGAAAACACCAGCTGTGGAACAGTTGGGTTTGGGCAGACAATTGCGTGATGCACCTCTACTGAAACATATTGATTTAGCTCAACACTGTTCTCCCAATTGTTGGAGCCTCCCAGGAGAAGAGGTTGCCTTGGAGGACTCTCTTGCCATTGGAGGGACTTTTCAGGAATTTTTCACACACACACCCCACCATCAGTGCTTTCCACACTGTTTTAGGAGATTATCAGACAAGGCTAAAAGATGGAATTAAAGCAGAAGAGATGCATCTATGGCTGAACTTTTTCAGATGATGCCGTGGTTGAGCTGTAGCTAGCCTGTCCTCCATCTGTGACTATTGCACACCTTTTCATTGACAGGCTTTCCCTGTCAATTGCTGTCAATATCACTGCTGTAGCATTAGATTTGAGTGCAATAATGTCTGGGCTTCAATCCTGACATTGGACAGTCGCATGGTGTCAGTCTTCTCTTTTTCACTCCCCCCTCTTCCCATTCTCAAGCAGCCCGTTTTCTTTTCTTTTTTTAAAAAAACCCTTTCTTTTCTTCCCCCTCCCTTCCCAATCACTTTGCCATAATGCTTAAATTGTATTTTAAAAAAATTGAGAGAGAGAAAATAATAGTACAGTTGGCCCTCCATATTTGCGGCGTTGGCTTTTGCAGATCTGATTATTTGCGGGTTTGATTAATATAGGAATTTCTAGGTCCTCCAGCACAACACTGCTGCAAATTGACCATAGAGTTGCAATGGAGGAGTTAGAGGTTACTAGAGAAAACACTTCTCTAGGCATTTGTAGGTCCTCCAATGTGATTCAGCGAATGTGGAGGGCCAACTGTAATTTAAAAAATGAAATGCATGCTGGTAAAGCAATAGAGGAGGGAGGCAGGGTTAAGGAGAAAACTGGAAAGAGAGACCTAAACCAGCAATGGCTGCAAGAAGATTGCAGACATGTGAGATAGGGACTGCTCCCAAGACGGTATGTATGTGTTTTCTTTCATTAACACAATCATGTAATAATGGGGGTTCTTTGGGATAAAGTGATTCTGATTCTGCAGGAAGAAGGAATAATTAGAAAAAGTCTCCCCACTTCTCTAGCTGCTTCAGCAAGAGTCTTGGGTTCATGAAAGATGATAGCATTTAGCATTTACATTTCAATACCACTTCATACTGCACTAAGCAGTCTCTAAAATGTTTACAAGACCTGCTTTTGGAGCTGTACAATTGCTGCTACAATTACAATTAAAATATATTTAATTTAGGTTCTACGGGAAGAAGGAATAATTGGAAAAAGTCTCCCCACTTCTCCAGCTGCTTCAGCAAGAGACTTAAGTTCATGAAAGATGATAGCATTTACATTTCGATACCATTTCATACCGCACTAAGCAGCCTCTAAGATGTTTACAACATGTAAGCCAATTGCCCTCAACAAGCTGGGTATTCATTTTACCAACCTACAATAGGATGGAAGGCTGAGTCAACCATGGAGCCCTCAGGATCAAACTCACAACATTGTGGATGCAGTACTGGCAGTTAACCACTGTGCCACCATTGTCAGTGTTTGGATCCACCCTGTTGTGTTTCTGTCTTGTGGGTTGAGTGATCTGTGGGGCCTGCTTCAGACATATCTAGTCCCTCATGATGTGATCAATATGGATCGCTCTTATGGACCCATGGATGTAGTGGTAGCTGGTAGATTCTGTATCAAAAGGTGATGAATCCATTCTGGCTTTTAATCTGAACTACAAATGAGCCATTCAAGGAGGTGAATGGATTTTAGTAATAGGATTCACCACCTGCTTGTATAACTCCTCTAAAATCCAGGCTATAACCTAGAATCCACTGCCCTGTTGATATAGAACCCAGCAGCTACCTATGCATGGCAGGGAAATGCTCTTAACAATCTCCTAATAAAAAGTAAACTTACAAATATTTGATAATTTGCTGCTCGGAATAGAGGTGGAAGTCCAAGCACACATTGCTTCAGCTCAGATGTTGCCTTCTTCATAAGAGGTGTTGTTATAAATGGAGCAACCGTCTTCATGTAGGTCCCATATGGGGCAAGGTAGTACTTGGATAAAACATCAAGGAGGATAGGGCAAACCTCAGCTTCAGCATCAGTAGCTGGAAAAGTGAATATTTAGAACAATATGTCAACACTGATATCTCTACTCATACATCTTGGTTTTCTTCTGTTGAGATCTGGGTGGAGAAAATCTCACATCTAGTCAGAGGGCCAGCAGGTTAGTAGGACTCCCATAGTTTCAATCCCCCTGCCCTCCTATTCCCAAAGAAATCCACCCATCTGGAAATGAAAGAAAAAGGATGACACCAGCTGGAACATTATGGACAGAGAAATGCAAGTGTAAAGAAAAAACCTTAAACAAAAGAACGAAGCAAGAATGAACACATCAGGGTGTAACTACAGGGTGGTGATAGGGTGGGATGAGTGCATTGCCCCGCACCACAAATTTTCCTGATGAATTTTTCCTTCAATCCTCACATTTCTAGCATTGCAGTAAATTAAAACTTCAGTTAAAAATACAGTGTAGGCATCCAAAGAAAAGGGGCAGGCAAAGTTCCCATGGAGAGCTAGTGTAGTGTAGTGGTTTGGGTGTTGGACTATGACTCTGGAGACCAAGGTTCAAATCCTGACTCAGCCATGGAAACCCAGTGAGTGACCTTGGGCAAGTCACACTCTCTCAGCCTCAGAGGATGGCAATGGCAAACCCCTCAGAAGAAACTTGCCAAGAAAACCCTGTGATAGAGTTTTCTTAGGGTTAGCATAAATCAGAAATGGGTTGAGGGCAAATAAGAACAACAACAACATTCTCTCTCTCTCTCTCTCAATTTGGAGACTGAAGGAAAATTTCATGAGAGGCTAGAATTCACATGTACAGGGGGACTATACCTTTATTTTGCCCCCCCACCTATATTTACACCTCTGCATCAAACCCAGACTTGTTGACACATATAATACTATCCACTGTTAGAAGGAAAGGGGTGGGCAGGAGTTCAACCTCATTGTCCCAAAAGATGCTGTCCAAGAAGACAATGACCTGCATCATGTTGGTTAATCCTAAATTGGATAGACCCATCAAATCAATTGTGGGTCAACATGTAGGAGCTTATCACATTTTACTTCAAATTGCCAGTTGTCTGCAGCCCAGGTCACAGCCACACTCAGCTGGCCCTTTTTTGAAGTCAGCAAGCTTTAGAGTTTTAATGGCGGCCAGCAGAGCGTGGCTGGGAGCCTGGCTGCAGTTGACCAGTGATTCGGCGGCGGATTACAATGTGATAATTTCCACCTCCATGCCATGTCCTGGCTGCATCCTGGGAAGCTAAATTTGAAGTAAAAGGTAATGCGAGAAGCTCCAGAGTTAAATCACTTTAACCCAGGGGTAGGTAACCTTTCCCCTTTAAGGGCCGAGGGACTTCAGCTCCCAGAAGCCTCAGTCATGTTGGCCAATAGCTCCTGGGATTCTGGGAGCTGAAGTCCCTCGGCCCTTAAAGGGGAAAGGTTGCCTACCCCTGCTTTAACCAAATAGGCCTGGTTTTAGCTAGGAATAAGAACAGGATTCAGGTCATTCATCTTTTCAGCATTGCAAAAAAGAGGAACCATACAGGCATCCTGTAGAAATGAATGTTGAATACAGCATGTTTTTTAAAAGATTTATATTTTAATAATATAAATTATATCTTTAATAATTTATATATATTATATTTTATTATATTTTAAAAAAATAGTGTCTTGTCTAATTTTGGAAATTCTGTACAAATCATGTACAATTTAAACTTACTTTATACAGAAATACCAAACACATTAAAAACAGTCAGTAAACACAACCTCCTGTGTAAATATTCTGGCAAGTTACTTAAAAGGGATTGAATCTCCCAAATTAGCCCTCTAGCAGATCGATCATTTAACTGAAATAAATATTTTGTTCAAAAGCCATCTTTCAGAAGCCAAGGGAATACTGTAATCCATCAAAATTAAGCAGATGGGTTGAAATGGGGAACTTAAGGATGCATATACATCTCCCTAATTGAAATCAGTGGGAAAAGGTAGGCTAGGTTCAAGCACTAATATGGCTGGATTGTGGAGCCACATTGGCTCCAGGCAACAAAACAGATACTTAATCTATCTGTTCCTTGGATATGTGCAGTTAGTTCTTTAGACACGCACCATAACATATAGCTCATGGAATACATTTTGTGGCATCTTTCTATTGTAATTTCATGGTCATCTGAGCAGCATTTGAGACCTAAAATTTAGATGTGTAATAGTAA